TATGTGAGATTTATTTAGGCTGCTTACAGTTTAGAAAGTTGATAATTTAATCAGTCATATTTTCAGTCTATTAGCAATTTACAACAAGCCCTCCAAATTAAATGACAAAATACATTACAGTTAATGTTAATGCCCTAATAGGACACATCTAGCAGGAGGACGACACCATCATTTGTCTGTTTTTTACAAAACTGTTCAAAATGAACAGTTGAAGAATAAATCAGTTTTAAGATGTGACACCGCTATGGTTAAGGTTTGGTTAGGTTTAGGCAATCAGGGTATGAATACGAACATGTACTTAGTTAAGGTTAAAGGGGCCGTCATTGTAATTGTGACATAACAATAATTTGGTTAAGGCTATGGTGGTCATGCCTTAAAAAAGAACAACATTGACAGTTGGTCAGGAATAGGAAAGGAACAGCTGAGTTTTACCAGCTTAGTACCATTGTATTAGTTTAAGATATAGGTGGGAGGACTCATGAGGGGGAGGTATAACTTAATTTAAAGGTTTCAGTCTCCCCTTCACACTTTTCTTTTCTATACAGTTCCTGAAAAGAACAATATTTTTAGCAGTTCATTACCTCACAGTGTATAGAGTACAGTCTGAACAGGGACTAATAGATTAGCCAAGAAAAGAAAATGTGGACACAACAAAAATAAAAATACTAAAACAGCAACAATAAATTAATTAATGTATAGTATGTTAATATAATCAACTACATCTTAGATCAATATTCATTTTTTCAAATGTCTGTTTTAGATTTTAGAAAAAACTATCTATGCTAAACTTTATCCATATTCTGTTTTATTTTTCATAAAAGTGAAGCACATTTTGCTTTTATTCGTGTAAAATGTGCTATTTTATTTTATATCATTTAATGTTTCTGCTTAATTAAACTCTGCTCTCTTTCCTCTATATAAATATAATATAAATAAATATTATATTTAAGGCTCCAATTATCATTGTCATAATCTGATGATTATTTTCTTTCTCTCTTCTTTACTCTATCAGAAAATTAAGAAAACCAGCAAATATTCAGAAGCTGATCATTTCTGCTTAAATATAACTTAAACAATTAATCAGTTATCAAAATTGTTGTAGATTCATTTTCTGTCGACTTCTGAAATTGATTAATCAACAACTTGTTTAACCTGTAAACATATTCTAATTGTTTGATTTGTTCAGTATACAAGCAATTAAAACTTTGTACAGTTCATCAGGTTCAGACTGGGTTATTTAATGTCTCAGTATTCTTCTGTTATGTGTTGGCATGTAGAATCAAATAAAATCTCTTAAATATCCCTGACATTTTCAATTTCAGTGTTGTTTTTGTCCATAATGGGAATGCATTTTTATGAGGAACAGGCTGTTCCAGCATTCAGCAAACAGTAAATAAGGCTCACTCTGCCAAGATATAATGATATTCATTACATTGGACTCCCCCTGAGAAGTCACCACTCTCATACTGTTGCTACTCAGCTCTTCTCCACTGTGCATTTGCTGATCTTATTAATGCACATTAACTAATGCTTTGTTACTCTTTAATGTCAGTTTCATCCCTTCAAGGCAGACAATGATATTTCTTAATCTGCTGTACTTAAGGTTACTCCAAACCAAAGATCTCCACTGTGTCCTTCAGTTTGAATGTAAAATAAGAAGGTAAAAGAAATATAGCATGTTTGTATGTCTTTTAAGTAATTCCAACATGATAATTAAGGTGATTCATCACAATTATTTTCTAGGTGAATGGCTATCCCAGCTGACAAATCTCTAACACATTACCTCATATGGGCGGTAATGGGAAACCACCCACTGCTCCACTCTGGCTCCATTACAGTGCACTGGAAACTCACTCATTCTTCTAATATCTTTCTTTATCGGTCACCTAATGATGATTTATAGCCAATACAAGGGCGGCGAATGAATTGTGGTGGTGAGTGCATTTGTTCTGCTGAGAGAGGCCTGTGTTGTAGCCCTGAGGTGAGTGGAGTTCATTTTGAACAGCAGAGCAGAAAGGTTACAAAGGAGAGGTGTACCATACAGTCAATGAGAGCTGTGAGAAGCAGAAGCTGTAACGATCCTTCCCACTTACTCCAGATCTTAAAAAGAAACAGCTATATAATTTCAATATGAGCTCTACAAATTGGTGGTTCTTCCACCTACCATCAGACATGAAACAGCTCTTCTTCCTGGCGGAGAAGCTGGAGGCTCTTTTAATTGGGTAGCGCCGGCAGTGCTGTGATATACCAGGTGAGATCTGGTTCTGGTTGGTTTCAAGGTTAATACTGAAGCTGCAGTCCACCCTGATCTCTGATTAGAGGGGGAATAGCTTCAGCACACCTCCCGCCCTGTTGAACAGATTAAAAACACTGGACCCCAGAGTGGCTTTGACCCCACTGACTGCAGACTAATTCCTAAATGCACTGTTGTCATTGCTCTGCATAATTCAGTGTTGAAAGCAAATTATTTAAATGATTTTTTTCAGATGATTTAACATCTATATATATTTAACTATATATAGTTATTTATCAGATTCAATTCTTGGCGCAGTTAAAATGTGTTAGAGATAAACATTTCATTATATACTGCATTACCAACTGCCCATACAAACAGTTCATTATTTGCTTAGTTATTTGCTTTCTTACCAAGCATTAGATGAGCAGATTGATACTAATCTCATATCTGTCGAATAAATATGATGACTCCAAACAAAGGAGTCTCGCTGGTGACAACTTCAGGAACTTCCTGCGCCCGGTCGAGCAGTAGGCTGACACATAACTGGATTAAACAAATGAGATATAACATGTTGAGCCTTAGAGGTGCAGGTAAGTGGATTTTGTTGTCATACAGAGCCGGGCAAGCTGTTTCCCCCTGTTTCCACTCTTTATGTGATGCTAAGCTAGCTGCTGCTGGCTGGAGCCTCATAAATAGTGTACAGATATGAGAATAATATGTTCTCATCTAAATTTTGGCAGGTGAAAGTGAATATGCGTATTTCCCAAAATGCCAAACTATTGTGTGACTAAGTGTGTCTTTGCCATGAGACTGGTTTTTCAACATCTATTCTGGCTCATAATATGTTGCCTGCCAGAGCTCCAGAGTAATTGGTGTAATTAGCTCTGTGCAGAACTCTCTTGTGAATGATTTTTGCATATTATGCATGTGAAATGTTATATATAAGAAGGGTATAATTCCATGTCATTAGCTGTTGATTTTCTTCCTGGCTGCCAGTCGGTGGTTATTGTTCAAGCAGTAAGTGGGTGGGCAGGGGAGGTGTTGGCTCTATCTTAGGCTGGTAATTTATGGCTCCAGCTGCTGTCTCCCTCTCCCCAGGTGGACATCTTGATTCGTCAGCAGTGCATCTCATTAGGAGGAGAAAAACACATTTCTAAGAGGAACGCGATCTGCGAGAGGACAGCGTACAACACTGATTGGACACCAGTCTCTCTCTGGGGGATAGATAGATACAAATCAAACATCATCATGACAGCAGCTTTTATAATGTATGACCCAACAGTGACAATTGGATTCATCAAAAAAAGGAAATGTAGTTGAGACAGCTGAGCTTAACTCCATCGATTTTATATAGTCTGCTCACAGGAAAGATTTTGTAATTCTGTAATACCATCCTCACTGTCAACAGTCTGACTATATGAATAAGATCTGCATGCTACATTAAACTAGTTTCTCTATCAACCCCAAAACACAGTGAAACGACCGCGATGAAGTTAAGTTTTAAATTGGTTTTGACAGACATTCACTCTGGATCCAGCAGCATCTTCTTACTCAGTGTCAGCGAGTGTTGGCAGTAAGAGGGCGTTTAGCTCACCTCCCAGCACTTAACTGTTAGGGGTTGACTTAGGGACCATCAATAAATTACTGTTTAAATTACTATTTAAATGACACAAAATCTTCTTCTTTTTTTTAACAATACCTTCATGCTGACTGGCCCATAATAGTAAAAATTATGATCTTTGTTTCAACAGCACCTATGTAATAGAACTGCATTTGTAGTAGAGGTGTGTCCGATGTGTCCAGTGTTGATATTGATTTGGAGTCGTATTACATGGAAGCTATTGAGGCGGGGAAAAAATCAATAATTTTCCACAAAAATATTTCTATAAAATAGAAGAAGCAGTAAAATCCAAAATAAAGAGGTGTGTCCTTTTTGTCCAGTGCAGTAATAATTTTTGGTATTGATTTGAAGTCAGTGGGTCTCATTACATGAAAGATATTGAAAAAACTGCCATTACTTTCTATCACATCAATAATTATGTAAAAAAAAGAATGTAGAAGATTAAACAGTATGTGTGCATATTCAGGCACACTGAATAAATGAACGACACAACAATCAAAATTAGTGTGAAACCAGTTTTTTATGCTTTTTTAATCATAAATTTAATTAATATGCAAGTCACCGTTAAGGTATTGAAAAAAAAATGGTATTGTTAAAATAGTAATTTATTGATGGTCCCTGAGTCAACCCCCAGCAGTTAAGCCTGAGAGTGGGGAGGTGCAGCTCACCGCAAACACTCAGTGATTTAGGCAACTCGTAAATCTACGTCAAATACACAGTATCTGCAACTATGTGTTTTATAAATGTATTCAAAAGACTAAATTAGCATGTGCACATAAAGAATAAGGCAGAACTGCCATCAGGGGCCCGTCAAGGGGAACCAGACAGACAAAACCTTATAGGAACATCACAATTAAGAATACAGCGGATGCATTATAGCCGACTGCATGATATCTATTTATTTATAAACATATATTACGCTTTACAGAATACAGTAATGACTGTTTTATATGAATAAAAGAAGAAACGTATTCATAATGGGACCACTTGGTGACAGAGGGCTCTGGGACGGCTGGATTCAAAATGTTAACTAACTATTTCACACATTTTTAAATGACAGTGTTACAGGAGTGCAATGTTAAATCAGTGTTACGTGTTCCATCTTACTTGCTCAAAGTGACCAAACACACAAAAAAAAGCATCTTGCATTCTGCCAAAGTTGTCAATATTTTATTAATCTTAAGTTAAGGCAATCCATTACAAAGCATTTCACAAACCACAGTATGACGACAATATCATGTCCAACACCTGGTTTGGAAATTATTCAGCATGCAAGTCAGAGACCAAGAGAGGTATGTAAACAACCTGGGATAAAACAGGAGTAGTGGCAAGAACCCATACAGTATGTGTCTCATAGGAACAGAATGGAAAGAAACCAGAGATTCAACATGCTAGAGGTGGCCGTTATCTCTAAATAACATCCGAAATAACCAATGAAGCACATGGCAGATGCACTAATCAGGTGAAATGAAGGCAGACTACCAAACTTCCTGCCATTTTGGCACAAACATGCACATTGTCTAAAGAGGCCAAGTTCAACAACTGAACACATTTTGGCACTAAATACTCTTTATATGGGGCTTATGTACATAATTAGAGTTCAGCCTCAAAGAAAATTCAAAATGAAGGAAAATCAAAGCCATTTCCACTGAGAGAGAAAATAAATAATTGTATTATTGGAAAGACATCTTTTAGACTGCAAAATATGTTTAATAATAATCTACTGTTTTACAATTGCATAAGTGTCATTACTGTGCTCATTTAATATTTATTGATTAGGATTTTTTTTTTAATTTCCCTGTGGAAGAATCAACCTCAGGGAAAAAAAGGAGAAAAAGAGTATAGCTTGTTATAATCTTAGAAGAGCAGCCTACTTTAACTGATTTTGATTAGTATTGATTACATAAAATATGTTTGAAAAGTGCAAACATACGGCCCCAACTCCACTTCACGCTTTAATTTCATCTCGCAGACATTCGGTATCACACTCAGTACATGAGCTGAATGCTGATGCGGACTTAACATGCCTGCCAAATGACGTTCTTTTCCTAATTAATTATCTGTGAGTAATGATAACCTTGTGAAGCAGATTTCAAATAAGTTAAAGTAAATATATAAGCTATCTGAGTTAGTAATTCATAATACTTCTATACTTTACAATAAATCTATTCAATGTATAATATATGATATTATTTCCTTTTGGCTTGAATGGCTGTCTGTAGAGGTATTCTGTTATTTATGTGTGTTACGTAACTAAACTTAATGGCCTCATTTAATTTCTGATGAACAAGTGAATTTGGCAGCAGATTAAATGCTGCTTTGTCTTCTGAGGGAGAAATGTCATCACTAATGAAAAATTAAAATAAGAAAAGAAAAAGCCAAATATGGATCTGGGCCTGTGACAGAAGGAGTTCACTGCCTCTGGACTGAGTTTCTGCAGCATCACCAGACTCTATCTTCTCTCTGAGAGCACTAAAGCAGTGGGAGTCAAAGAACATTAAATGGCTAACGAAGACCGCAAAGCAACGTGAATCAACACAAAACAAAATATAACAACAGTGAGAGATCAGAGCTTCACATTCTCAGAGAACAACACAACAAATCTTTGTAAACGTTAGTTCTCCAGTGTCATTCGATGAAACTCTAAGACTGAATAATCCACAAACACAACGGATCAAAGATAAACTCAGTTCTTAATGAAAACCCATGAATGTTTACTTTTTCCTTGAGGCAATGTAAATAGCCACAGTTGAATTGTAAACAAGTCTTGACTTTGAGTATTGTACAACAAGGCTCAGCGACACTGTCAACTTTCATTACTTGAAGATCGTTAGTGAAGAGCTGTAAGTAGAAAAAGTACTGAACACTGGTTGAGACAGCGTGTATCAGCCACTGCAGCTGGAATAGTCCTAATCTTGCAACAGTTTTATTGTCACTAACATTTTCTGTGTGTACATCTGAAACATGAGACCTGCTGCTGCTGGCAGAATAACACCTGGGTAAGTGAATTTGGATATGTTTCCATATAATAGGCACATTTGGATCGAGATATTGAGAGTGACTGAGAGATACTTATGGTAATGATGGCCATTATAAATAGATAAATTAGGATGTACACCACTTGGTCACAATGGCTGTAACTGGCTTGACAAAATGTGTACACAGTCACTGAAAAGGAACGCAGTGAACAAATGTGAATATATCCACAACTGGATTGAATTAAATCGCAAAACAAGATTGTGAAAATTAATCTTAGGTATTAAAATGTTATATGTTGTGTTAGAAAATGGGTTGTTGTGCATTAGTTTAGTAGTAGTTTCTGGGAACACTCAGTTAAATTGAAAGAGTAAAACACAGTAAACAAAATGCATTACACAAGACACTGAATGAATCAGAAAAGATGGTCTTGTAACAGTTTTTTTTTGTGCAATTAGTTTTTGTTTACTTTAGATAATTAAAAAAATCATAATTCAACATCTGATTATCTTATATTCTTGTTGCTGATTTGTGGTTGTTCAGTTTTCTTTCTGGGGAAACAAATCAATTTAAGGGGGAGGGGGGGAGGGTAATGGGTATTAGCTGACATGAGTCTTTTAGATGTTTATTTGTAGGGTCCTTTAAAAGTACCGAGCAAAATCCCAGACAATAAACTGTAACCACAACAAATATAATGGAAAGAAACACAAACAGCGAGATGACAAATGACATATGGCAGCAGGACTTAAGCTGTACATTTTACTGCTCTGCATAATAACAAAGAAAGCAAGTGTGTGCTTTGAATTATTCCTCTATTGTTCTGTAAACATCTCTGTTTTTACGATAAATATAAGTTAATTTTAATATATCAGTATAGTAATTTTCTTATAAACATTCTTCCTTTTGTCATGTTCTTTAAAATGATGGTGGAAGACAATGTTAAAGCCATGCTTGAGGGGTCCTTTCCATTATTTTCATTGTGGTAGGTGTTGGTTCTTAATGGTTTTCAGCTTATTAACATTATAACCTTTGTGCTTTTTATTTGGACAGTAATTAGTGCATTCTGTTAATATAAATATTAGAAATACGTACAAGACATGGTGCTGGAAAATCAGTATGGCAACAGCTCACAGCAGGTCCTCTACATAATAGCTTGCAATCAAAAATTATCCATCAGTGAAAATGGTTAATAAACTGCTTAATAGGTTTCATCACATGCTTTTATATTACAGTCCTTATCAAAGTAGAAATGGGGATTTTTTTTTTATTACACTGGTCACAAAATATAAGATGGAAAACTACAGGGGAAATATGACTTTAATCCCCACCTTTAAAACCCCCTCAAAGCAATAAATTATTTCTGCAATAAGTAAATAAATAAATAAATTAGTATACACATGATTTCTTAGTTTAACACACATCGATTCCAAAAGGTATCACAAACATGATACACACTGGCACATTCTAATATATTTATGCCTTCAAACAGGCTCTCTCTACGGGTTTACTTGCTATCCATTACATCACCACTTTGACAGGTTTGACAGCAAACAACTAAAACCTTCCTTTTACACCGGACCGCTCTCAGAGCTCTCTTCCTCAAACACTCCCTGATCCTCAGCAGGTTCCCCCAAAGCAGTCTTATTTCTCCAAAGCGAAATGGAGTCTATTCATTTAGACTAATATTTGCGAAAGGGCCTCGAATGCATTTCCATTTTCCCAAAGGACGGTTGTGGAGGCGGGTTCCTAACAGTCCCGACCTGGCTCCACCCCAGTGTGGAGCTGTGAGTGGGGCTCAGACGGGGTTGGTCTGGGGGTGGTCAGAGGTCGAGTAAGCCGGTGGTACGGGGTTCGGTTTAATGGCTCTGCTCTTCATGTACGAGATCAGCTGGTCAGGGATCTCGGCCAGCACGTCTTTAGCCAGCCGCGCCATGCTCAGCACATGGTTGCCTGTGCGGTCCATGTAGTCTCTGAACGGGACAAACTGTTGTGACATGGGAAAGAAATCTATGACTTTATGAACAGAATGTATCACGTGTGCAACTAGTGGCCCGATTACACTTGACAATATGGAGAACTGGGCCAAACATTTTACAGATGATTTTGCTATTGATACTTGACACAAGTGGTTTTAGATTATAGTTCACCACCAAACTGAATACAGTAGCTATCTGAGGCTTACTGAAGACTCCTTAATGTTGTTTTCACTCTCAACTCTACCGGCATCAAAAACTTAGGAGAAAACACAAGCAGCCCAAGCCGGCTGATCACAGTACTTGTGGTGGCCATCTCAGAGCCGCCATAAAACCGATGGGTTGTTTTTGAGGAGGCATATACAATAGGGATACGTGCACAGGCTCCGTAGCTACATCATGACGCCTTAAAGGTCCAGTGTGTAACATTTAGGAGGATCTATTGGCAGAAATGGAATATAATATTTATAGGTTTGTCTTTAGAATGAGCCGTGTTTAACAACACAAGGAGTGTGTCTCTTCTTCTGTTCTACAGTAGCACAGAATGGACAAACACTGGCTCTAGATAGGGCTTTTGTTTAGTGTCTTGGAAGGTCAGCGGTTATTCAGTTAATTACGATCTGCAAGTTCACTGCTAGGTGCCACTAAATCCTACACACTGGTCCTTTTACTCTTTAGAGCATTACCAGTACTGATGCTTCGAAGATGAGTAAGTGTGAAAGTTTCCCTGAAGCTGGTGCTAGTAGAACACCCAAGAGTTTACCCTCTAATTTTGCAAACACTTGCCAATCAGATCATGAGAATTCATGTTGGAAAAGTTTACATTTAAATCTGACTGTGGTGCAAGAGTAAAGGACAAGGGATCACCACAAAGCACCGGGGTTCATCTTCTTAGGATGAAAAACATGCATAGTACATTCAATCGAGATCCATCCATTTGATAAATTGTGTACAAATTGCCATTTTGGGTTGAGTGTGGATAAGAAAACTTGTGGAGTGTCCACAATGTGAGGGGTTTACCCCCTGTGAAGCAATAATGTGTTCATTTTAAAATTAAATTTCATGATGTACATATAAAGATTTTGGTAGCAGCACAAGATGAAAGGAAATCTTTAAGGATGATGATCTTAGGACCCGAACTATATGTATTTCAAGACAACGTAGCTTGTAGTTGTTCAGACATTTTGTTTTGTAATAAAACAAACAATCAACATTACCATGTATAGACTACTACTGCTATCCTGTATGTATAAATACTACTGGGACAAAAATTATCCCATGACAATCTGAGAGTGAGACAAAACACGAGAAACGCCTCACCTGTACAATGTCTCTCTCTGCTAACTTCCCCCGCGAGGAAATCCTGATGTCATCACCATCCAGCTCAACCATGGCTACAGAGAGAAGATGCGATATGAAAAATTATCTCACATAAACAATATTTTCATACTGTGAATTGTTGACATGTACAGTAGTTGTTATGCTCGAGGGCAAGTCTGAACACATTTGAATACAACAAATAATCCTTGATGCAAACAGACCACAGTGGTTCCCTATTCTCACCATCAAACTCAGCTTGGCCAACTCCAACAATGATGATAGACATGGGGAGTTTAGCTGCCTGTCATGAACAAGAAGAACAAACAGTCAGTTGCCACTCAGTTGCCTGGAAGAACACATGTACTGTGTTTTCTGAAAAAAAAAGGCTTGAGATCAGACTTTTTATCAGAGTATGGAGAGGTTACATTTCCAGTTATTTGTATTTTTCTCACAATACACTCATTCTGCACAGTCAGTATTAATCTGCAAGGACCGTTCTCCAGAGACACCAGAGACAGAAACAATAATGGGCAAGATAAAATAAGAAATGCTACATGCATCATAACTTTGTTTCACATCATATTATGTTGCATAGTTTGGGCTGCCCATGGTACTGACAGAAAGTACAAAATACATTATTCAACTCAGGGGCCCCAAGGTTGTTACAACAGCCAGCATAAAACAGAATGTTTTAGCAAACTATTACACGGTGTACACGTTTTAGAGGATGCTTTTACAATGTCGAATAACAAGTGAGTACATAAGGTTACTCGATGTTCTGGACTTCACAAATAAAAGCAGAATTAAAAAAAATGTAGAAACATGAATAAAGTCAAACTTTATTCATAAAATATGATTATTTCAGCTGACACACTTACATCAGTCAGTCTAACATTATTTATTCATGATGTTTACATATAGAAATGTTTCAAACAGTGTTAATATCAAAACAGAAAAGCCAAATGTCCTGTCTTTTAAACTGCAATCGAAACAAAACCTACACCTAAGTAAAGATTTAATAAGGCTTATCTTTCAAACAGCTTAAGGTGTACAGGTTTCTCCACTGCTTGAAACTAAACCACAGTCCTGATGTGGAGAATGTGAAAGCTCTGGCATGAATGAATGATATATTCTTGTGATAGAAATGCATTTACAGGGGTAAAAGTAGGTCAGCTTTCCTGGAAAAACCTCCCAAGGGGAAAGACCTGTCACAGATAGGAGTAAATAGGTGGAGGAGGAGGACCACCCTCTCCATGTTCTCTATCATTATTCTAGCTCCATCTCTCTCTTCTCATTTTATCTTCCCCTCCACAGGCTCATTCCTCATGACCTCTTGCTCTCTCACCAAATACATACATTCTATTTGCCCCTTTTCTGCAGCACAAGACCCCACAAGCACATACCTATAAATGCCAAATCAGATTCTGTATCCAGAGCTGAATTATTCAGTCTACACCATTTGTTACTTTGCCTGTACTGTAAAGTCACTCGGGGGATCTCACTCCATCAGTCTGTCTGAACACATACTCCCTTCCACCACACAGAATCACAATAAACATAGACTGATAGCAGATACCTTCTCATAATAAACCTATAATTGATATTTGCCCCGTTGGTCACATTAACAAAGAGGAGAGAAGATTGCCAATAAAATAACTTCTGTGTAACTGGTAGATTATGTTTTGTTTTTTTTGTAGTTTCCCCCATTAATTTTCTCTTAAAGGTTCAGTGTGTAACATTTATGAAGATATATTTGCAGAAATTGAATATAATGTTCATATGTATGTTTTTATTAGTGCATAATCACGTCCTCTTCTACAGAGGCTGCCATGTTTCTACAGTAGCCCAGAATGGACAAACCAGACACTGGTGGAGGAGTTTAGTGATCTACATTTGTTTTTTAATTCTAGATGTCTCATGCATAATTTAATGCACATTTACCCCAAACAAAGTCTGACATATCTGTATTTTTGTAAACTCTTGGTTCTTTAGGTTTAAACAAAGTTTGGTTGTACAGCGAGTGTTTGGAATGAATGTGGAGATAAAGAGTTAATTCTAATAGCTTACATTTAAACCTTGCTGGCTTGAACTTGAATTTGGTTAAATAGGAAATAACGTGACAAAATAAGTACAACTTATTATTACATTTTTCTTCAAAGTTGGCCATATAGGTTAAACTTTTTCTTTGCTGATTCTGAGTGCAGTTTGTTAAGTGTCTCTAGATTCTAAAATATTCATGGGTTTTATGAAGTTACTGGTCGAGCCGGGGCTCCTATCCAGACAGTAAACAGACAACCAGAGACATAATCTAATACCTGAGCACAAATCAGTTTATATTTTAGCCTACCAGGTCAGAGAGAGACCCTCTTTTATAATTTAAAGTTCTAAAATTAAATTTGGATCTAAAAAAAACAAAACATCAAAGATGACAACAAAGATGGCCCCATGCTGTCCTGTCAGATGTGTGGACATATTAGTCACAGGGGACTAAGCTGGTTTAAAGAACAGATAAAACATTACAGAACAGTCTGGTCAGCAGCAGTACTATTCACAATATTTTAACATATCTCTGAAGATACACCACAGCATCATAGAGCACAAATAAGAAGTCAAAAGTGCAGAGATGAGCATTGCACGTAACTCTCGTTATGATTCCTCTCAGGACGAAGGCTAAATGCCAGGTGAGGCAGGTCATTCAGTCTTTTGCTCTGTGGGCAGAAGAAGGAGTAGCCAGGTCCCAACTGAGAGGCAAGAGGTGGCGGCAGGACACAGCAGGTTCAGCAGTGCAGAGCAGCAGACAAGATCTTAAAAGGAAGGTGTGGCTGTTCGAATGGTTTGATTAACAGTCGCAAATTCCCTTTAAACCCAGTCTGCTGGGGGTCAGAGCACCGTGTCGCTGTGAAGGGTCTACCTGGGTGATGTTAACTCACTGATCTGTTTTACCATTCCAGCTATATTCCCACTGTTAATGACACAAACAATATGCAGCACACAGCAGACGCGCAAGAGAAACACAATGATATTTTAAAAACCAAAAAGGTGCCTCAGATGGTACACTGGATAAGACTCTTCCCTCTAATAAAGTAAACCTGTTGACCTGAGAGTGAATCTCAGCTGAGCCCCTCAGCTGCCCAAGGGTCTCAATAAAAAGGAAAAATATTGGACAAACAGAGCGCCCAAGCACAGGGGGTGAGACAAGTGGAGCAGAAAACATCCCATAAATCCTCAAATCTAGTGCCACTGGCTTATAAACCCCTCAAAGTAACAGAACGCCTTAGAGAAGTGCCACAGTAAGCTAAAAGCACCTGAAATGTCAGTGCCCTGCAGGGGAAGGGAGAGTGAGAGAGAGAGAGAGATGAACATCCTCCAGGTTAGCGTTAGAGCAGCACTTACGTTCACTATGGCCTCCTTCGTCTGAGCCATGTCTGATATGACGCCATCTGTGATGATGAGCAGGACAAAGTACTGGGATCCGTCCTGCACTGCTGCCGCATAGCTGAAACAGAAAAATTATCAGCACAGAATGATTTATGACACGCAGACCATGTAAAAGAAAAGCAAAGTTGAAGACAGATGCAGACGTTTGCAGATGTTTGTGGATTTACAGAAAACTAGAACCAGAGGGGAAATCTAAGAGCAGCAGAGCAGCAACCACTGTGTCAGAAATTAAAAAAAATAAACATTAAAAACCATGGTCTTCTAAAACAAACTCCCCCTCCGCCCATCATGTGACACAAAAGCTTAACATAGACACGCAAAGAAGTAAAATATGTTGTATAGCTCTGTCTCAGAGGTCTATCCAGACACTATTATGAAACCCATCAGAGACACCACAGTGAGTGTGGCCTAGTTTCAATCGCCCATTGCTGGCTGCTGGCAATGAATAATTTATTAAACTGTTTATGCAAGTGCTGCAGTCTTATTCTCTCAGAACATCATTGATTTCCAAGCACATGATTGACAAGCACAGACTGATGAGCGAGAGGGGAAAAAACGTGGCAGATCATGAGAGAACCAAGGACAGGTCAGAGGTCAGCCCCTTCCTGTCACTTTCAGTTTAAATTTGACTATGAGGCGCTGACATTTTAATCAAAGTGCATACCAAGTTAGTGACAAAGGCAAGAGCGATGATGGGTGTTTAAGGGATTAAAGAGACATTTGTCTTCCTCATCTGCCATTCAACCTTGTGAGCCACACTCACTGGAGACATGTGACCACATTATCAGCGTCACCAAACACAGTATTGTATTATAGATAGATCCCTCCATAGTTGACCACATTAAGAACTAGCACATTAAACATATCAACAATTTAACATCATACTGCACATCTAGTTAAGTATGTATTCTGCTTGAACAGCTTTTATCCATTTAAGAGCACTGTTTGCTTTCTGCTTGTGCAACATGCAAAACCTACAGTGCAAGAAGACTTGCATGTTCTGCTCAACATCCAATGTTAAGATCTGTTTCTAGTGGTGTTAAGAGTCATTTGAATCTTTTCATCATTGGTTTACTGGATGACCTATTTCACTTGTACTGAATAGCTGAGGCACTCTAATAGTCTGCAACATCTTTGTGAATAATTTTCAGTATTTGAGTTTTACTGCACTCTTAGTTATACTGCACCCTTTAGGCAAGGAGAGACTGTAGAGAGTGTAGTTTTATAAATGCATAAAGTCCCTTACTGCTTTCAACCCAGACTACTTGAAGCCGTAACGTGACATTTTTTATTGGGCATCAAATGTTCGTGATTTTTATTTATTCATAATTTTTATTCTTTGAAATCACGCAAAGAGGTCTGCAGGGGGACTTTTTTTTTTTTTATCACAGTTGTGTGTCTGTGTGGGTAGTGAACAGGGCTGGATGGGGTATATGTGAATCTGTGGAAGGATATTCTTCTGTTGTATTTATGTGTTGTGGCAAGTCAAAAAGCATAACTAACATACAACAACTAGCATAAAGCTAACTTAAACTGAACCTAAAGAACCAACAGAATTTTCAATTTACATCTGTAATAGTAAAACCTAGTTTATTGTGACTTTAACTTATCAATTTCACTCCATCATGGACAAAACACATTTTCATGACATGTAACATTTTACTTTAATGCTCATAATCAATCATCAGATCAGTATATGAACTTTTAATAAAGGGTTTTTAACACACTATAATGTAGCTTTAAGCAGATATGAGTGTTTATAATTATGTTTATAAACAGTGTGGGCTGATGTATAAACAGATAACGAATGACATTATAGTAAAACACTGTTTAATAATATAAAATAAGTTAAGTTATAATTGTTTACAAATACTATACATTGATAAAAAAACATCCTTATATCTATAAAACATCCTTATATCTATTTACAGTATATGAAATGTTTATATTATACTTATAAAAGCTCAATGGAGTTAAAGTAAAGTGTTACCTCATTGGGTAATTGTTAACAAACCAGAAATACAGGTAAATGCTGAAGATCTAATCTAAAATTTTAATTCAGGTCCTCAGTGCACCAAGTGTGATTCATTAATATTCAAGTCCAAGCCAAGTCATGAGTCATCATTACTGGGAACTCAGCACCAGCTTGAGTCTGAGGTCGGGGGGTGAGACAGTGTACACCTGTGCCGTTTTATAATTTCACTACTGTTTCAATCTTGAGAAGAACATTTCCAACAAATCTGCTGTGTGTGCTTGTATTTAATGTGGTACAGCCCCATCTGTAGACATAACCTACAAATTCACTTTGTACACTTGTTCCATTTGCAATGACGGGAAGTTTGTAATGTTGAATTAAAGCGTTCACAGCATTCACAGTCAAGCTCATTTATTGAACAATGTGACTCATCAGCAAATGGTGGAAAGGCTACATGACATGATTCCATTTACAAGTCCTCTGTCAATCACCTTACCTTAAAACTCTCACCACACTTTTAAAAAGCAATGTAGCACCTGCGCTGCATATGATTACATTTCTATTCATCTCAGCCTGGCAGCTGATTGTTTATTCTCGATTCATTAGTTCTGCACCACTCATAGAGAAACCATCCCTCACTGTCTTAATACCTCTGACGGAGCGTCTCCCTGCTGAAGATTATTTACAGATTGGCTTTCACAGAAAGGACGGCTGTGCCTGTGATGTTCACTGGAACAGGTGTTGGTGCTTGTACCTTGCCACATGATTAACAACAGGAGCGAAGTTGGTTGGTCCATACAGCTGAACCGTCTTAAGGCTTTGATGGTAAGCTTCGAGAATCCCCTCCATGCCGTTGCAGTACGGGTTCTCAATGTTTCCATTCTGAAAAAAACAAAAACAAAACATGAATGTTACAGAAACTATAACAGTAGTCAGAGTTTTATATCAGTGTGTTATAATATTGGAATTCAATAGGGCTTGCTAATCGTAATTGAGTAACTTAATACCGGACCAAGACCTAGTTTTAGTGATGGGTGAAATCGGAAGTGCACCCTGTTGCATCTGTAAACCACGTCCAACAGTGATGTCACAGTGTACTGACACATTGTGAAGTATACTGCTACATCACTGCAGCAAAGTGAGAAGTTTAACGTTCACATATTAGAAAACTGGCTTGTTTACAATAGAAGACTGATATCAATTTAATCTCTTTTTATTCAATATAGACATGAAGTACCTAAATACAAAGACTGGAGTTGTGTCCAAAATTGTTGACTACTCATTAAGATGCATTTTCTATTATTATTATTATTATTTTTGGGGATTTTTATGTTTTTTTATTTTATAGAGACAGCTGAAGATAGGCAAGGGGAGAGAGAGAGAGAGAGAGAGAGAGAGAGAGAGAGAGAGAGAGAGAGAGAGAGAGAGAGAGAGAGAGGGGATGACATGCAGCAAAGGGCCACAGGTCAGAATCAAATCCAGGTGGCTGCGATAAGAACTCTGCCATTGATATGGGGTGCATGGTAAACATACTTCTGGGTTTCTGTACTGAAGGAACAAGTTGAAAAAGTACTGGAATGTACTTGATGAAAAAGATATCAGTCTAACCAGTAGCGACTACATGCTCAGAGGTGAGGAAGCAGCTGGGTGTTTTCTCAATAACCAAAGACCACCCTGACCACACCCAGCTGTGATCATGGGGGCTGCAGGTTCATCAGACTTATATCTTGCAACCCATTAACCCAGTTCAGTGATTGCCACAAGGCACATTTCTAACCTACATATATAACAAATGTTTCAGCCAGGACTGTAACTTTACTTTTAAAATAACTTACAAGACAAGAGCTTGAAAGAGTGAGGCTTCAATTATATGGTGAGATGAATCTTAATTTGCAAATTTTAATGGAAACATGGAGTGATGCAGACGTTACCCTGTAGACAGACTCCTCATTAGGCTGTACTATGCAGCAGCCAGAGCACATTAGTTGGCTGAGAGAAGGCAAATTGATTTAAGAATCCTTCAGCCTTACAGAACCTAATTTGCACTATAAAAGGTAAATGAAATTCACTCTGAATTATGCATGTCAGAGGTGTAGCAGCATTCATCTCAAAATGCACATATCCATATTGCACATGAAAACACACTTATCCATACATGTTGGAGAGAGCATAAGAACATAAACGAGTGCTCACACTCAGAGATAAGCTCCACTGAGAGGGCCAAAATCAATTTCACACAGTCAGACTAACTTTTATGAAAAATTCTGATGATGAATTACAATCTGAGTGTCTGAGATAACAACATAGTTTACTTACCAGAGGGAACTCATGGGAGACCCTCCCATCAGGGGGGAGCTTAGCACCGAATCCCAGGGCAGGGAACATCTTATCACTGTCGTAGTCCTGGATGATCTCTCCCACGGCCTTCAGGGCCATGGCATAGGCATTCATCTGGTACGGGTTCATGTAGTGCAGTGAGGTGGACTGGGATGGATTTCCTTCCAAGACAAAAGAAGTCAGAGTCAGTGATGCAAACCATCAGACACCGAACTGACAGCTGCAACCAGAGAAATATGAAATACGTTCTGAATCAGAGGTGAAGCTCGATGTAACTCGATGTTATTAGCAATACTTGTGTTTATGGATTCCTGTTTATGTTTTTGAAGTTACAGTAACATTGTGATCAATTCCCTTTTATACTGAAATTAATCAGTAACAGTCAAAATATCACATGTAGTTAAATAAATATCTTCAGAATGATCCCACTGCAAGGTTTTAATGCACATAAAAGCTTTAATGGTTGGTTGTTTGCAAAGTAACTAGTGACTAAACCTCTCAGGTAAATGTAGTGCAATATTTATAAAAGTATAAAGTAGCATAAAGTTGAAATACTCAAGTTAAGTACTCAAGCAAATTGAACGTAGCTAGATGCCACCACTGCATATTAGCACAAAACATTTAGATAGATATATATTACCTTCAGAAATGTGTTCCTGACTTATGTACATTTGTACATCTGCTCATGAATATACCACCTTATTTGTATTATTTGTTGTTTGTACTAGACAGAGCATTTAATTTTAGCTTTCCTTAATGCAGTTTATAATCAAGGCTCTCTCTCTCTCTCTCTCTCTCTCTCTCTCTCTCTCTCTCTCTCTCTCTCTCTCGGTCCACAAGTAATTGCATGTAAATGACTTAGTTTACCATATGAGCACTTTAAGAAAAAAGTTTAACAAGAAAATAGGTTATTATTACAAGCAGGGAGAAAACTCCAGCCCCCTCTTTGATTCATGGGGAATGCCACAGTCATACATCAGAGGACGGGAATGGAAGCAGAGCAGGGCGATGGTAGTCAAAACACTCACCATTTGATGCAGTGAAATCAATGGCCACTGTGAAGTGAATCTGAGTCCTGAAACAGATGAATAGGGGAGAGGATGCTGTTAACAAAAGAGAGGCAGGAAAACTCAGCGCCGCAGTTTAATGAGGCTCTCCCAGGTCTGACTGTGCTCTACCTCTCATCTGAGAAGAGGTGTGACAAACGAAACCCAAAACAGCATTGATAATACACCTTTACTGTCTCTGCAACATTGGATCTATTAAGGTTTTTATGAAACGGAGAGAGCATACATTTGCTTAGGGTCAAACAGCATCCGAAGCACTGTTTTGATCTTTAAATGAAACACCGTATTTAATGATTTAACAGCACAGCAACCAAACCACAAACACATCCCACAAAAACCTAGAAAAACTGCTGAAGGCAGAGTCATTTCTCAAATGGTCTCCCCAAATACATAATGAGTTGCTGCAGCTGGCTTAATGATTAGACTGAACATCACACTGAGGAAAAATATAATTATTAACAAGGCACAAGATTTGTGAAAAAATAAATTAAATTAAAAATCCCAATTCCTCACTGGCTGTTTTGACTATTTCCCTTGTTTTTTCAAGATATATGAACATTTACACAATTTTGTATACTGTGCTCCCAATCGTCCGTTATAGTCACATAATAATCATAATAATAATCATAATCATAATCACGATCATCATTATAATCACCATTATTGTCTCTGTTATACTCAGTCGCTATTGTATGATCAATGGAAAATTTGAGCTCTTCCATTCACTGCATCAATCTGAAAAAACAGCCTCACAAAATGCCCAAAAACTACTGAATACTTTTTATTCATGAGCCTGTAATGATAGCCAAAACCTTGAAAAGAAACTAAACAGAGCCTAACTAGTCTCTGCTGGATTTGCACGTTTCCCCAGAGAGACAAACGAAGAGTGAAGGGAAGGGAAGCTTAGATCAAAGTGTGTGCTCTTTCATTGTGATTAACACTGATTGCCTTTTCCTGACTTCTCCTCCATTCAGAAATTCCCACAAGCATAGTATCGGAGATAATGGCGGCTTCCTCCTGGGGAGACTCTGACCCCAGCTCATTAATCAGCATTGAGCCGGACTGCTCAGCTGACAGAGGGGAATTGTTACACTGGCATACTGCCTCAATTTGAAAGTCTCTGCTGATTTCTATGGTTAGTTTTGAATGTTTGACCAGAAAGGCAAAGCGGTGAGTTAGAGTTAAGGCAGAGTGCAAGACAGTAGAAATAGTCACACAGGAACTGTCAGTCAAACTGCCAATTAGATCATCAGAACATTACCTGGGACTTCATCCTCAGTCAGTTCTTGTTAAACTCTACAGGGACTGGAAGTACCAACAACAGGACCTATTACTTTTTTTATCAGTTTATATGGACACAAGTGTTGCATTTATAGCATTAAGAGCTTAAACCCATCGACAACCCACAATCATTTTCTAAATATAAACACTAATAAGATACACAAATACGTGTAACATAAAGAGCTTGAACACATTAATGATGGAAGTATCTAAGAGTCGTAGTCCTTTTAACTAATCTATAATTTAACAAGCTGATATTTCTGTGTCCAGCTTCTCAATTGTGGTAATTTGACGATTTTCTCTGAAATAAACTGAACATCTTTTCAATTTTGTTTTGGACTATTTGTTGGGCAAAAACAATATGAACGTAATCATGGGCAATTCTCACCACTCCCTCACTCTTTAAGTAGACCAAATACAAATGAAAGCTATTTAATATTCACCACGTGCCTGATCAGCTCTACTTCAATTTGGATATAAAATGATATTATCGAGAGTATTTGGAAATTACGTCCATATTATTGGGCAATGCCACACCTCCAGATTTACATCCAGTGCCAACGTTCGGTACCAATGCAAGAAGTTTTCTTTTTGTAGCGAGGATATAAAACAAAATTAAACCAAGTTTAGTTGCTTAACCCTAACCATAGAGTCTCATGGTAGTGCAGGCAGACACAGAAGCCATTTTATAATCACATGTTCCATACACCCTCCAGTCATGTATGTCCACAACCTCTCACAATAGGCGTTTTTATAAATATTTGGCGCTCAGTCATGCACACAGCGGCACTAAGGTTTGTATCCTTGCTGCTACACTGCTGCCTGCTTTTACAAATCTAACTCCCTGTGTTGTACATTAATGTTTTCTACATCTTTTGCAGACATAGTGCTGGCATATTGTCACTGAACAAAATCCAGGTATTGCACAAGGGTTAGGATTGTTGATTTTATTTTTATTTTTTAAGCTTCCTATAATAAATTTGTTTGCATGATTGTATATCAACATACATTATCTTAAGGTATCTACAACATGACTGGTGTCTTGCAGGAAAAAATTAAAACCCCTTTGACTTTTGGTCTAACAACTGCTCCGTACCCAAGGTAGATATTCCTTGTTTTCCTTTTAGGACTAGGGTTTGGACTAATTTACAGTTAGTAGAATAGCCTCCACTCTACTTTGCCTCCATCCCACTCTGTACAATAGTTATCAACAAGGAATCACTGGATGAACAGGTTCAGAAATCAGTGTCTGTGTCCCTTTCTATTAGAGAAAGATACTTAAAAACAAACAAGCCAACAGACCATGGACTCCTCTGGGGATCAGTTTTTGCTGCTGTCTGTGGCTTGTTGCAGGAAGAGTTATATCGGCCATCACACATTATGTCCGTGTTCAGTTGACTGACTTGCAGTGCTTGTTTTCTTTTTATTTCACTTGTGACGCACAGTGGGGATTTGTTTAAGAGCTGAGCTGACAAATTATTTTGAGACTAAAAAAATCAATATAGATTGATATTGACTGATGCTGCAGAATTGTCTGTTTTGTAGGTCTTCTTGCTAAGAACCACTGGCTGGTCTGCAGTTTCTAATTTTATCCCTCCAATCCTCACATCTATAGTCCTTGAGAACAGGTAATCCTTCAGTCATATTTCATTTTTTCTTCATCTTCCTTGAGTAATGCATTGCTATGTGGACAAATTAATATACCATCACTATTTCATACAGAGTTCATAAATCTGACACCAGCCTTTAAATGGCCTTTCCAAACATGATTCAGTGCAAATCAGAACAGGAAGTCCAATAATTCCCTATGGGCTTCACTCTGTCCTTTCATATTATCACTAACTCACTCAGCATCTCCTCTTCCCTCAGTTTTGTTCTCAGCTTAAATGACAGCTCCTCAGCCAGCATTTGTATCACCTTGAATCACAAACAAATGTATCGGTGTCATATTGACTTTCCCCTTCCAGTTAGACAAACACCATATGGCAGGAGACTTTGTAATGTGAAGTCCCTGCAGTCTTGGCAATCTGGATTGGGTGGGATATCGTATAAAATGGAAAACAAAGAATGCAGCTACAGTACACCTACAAACCCATCAGTATGTGCTGGAAACTGGCCAACACAGACTACATCAATGAGCAGATTGGCACAGTGTGTCTCTTGCATAATGAAATGCAGGAACATATACACAAGAGTGAAGGTTTGAAATTGAAGATAATATACAGTTTCATTTCCTTGTTATAAAATGGACTATTTCTATTTACTATATATATTCTATAAAAAAAACAGTAGTGCTATGTAAGGTTAATGATTAATGTATTATTATTTCTCTAACCTTACTTAAAGTAATTTTTGGTTTCCTTGATAAAGGCATGATCATTTCTGATGGACATTTTTACTACCAAGAGCACTTTGCAGCCTTATCTCTGGCTGATGCTCAATTCTAACATCTTTTTAAGAGAGTAATAACTGTGAGCCTAGATCAAAATACAGATTAATTGCTTTACTTAACCAACACAACTAAAACAGTGTGGAGAAAGCTGAAAGTACTTTTTTCAGCCCTGTGTAACGTCTGCAAGTATTCCCTTTAAGGCTGCATACAGCCCCAACAACTACCGCCAAAAGTAGGGCAGCCTGTATGTAGCCTGAGAGGTGAAACACAGAGCAAAAAGAGTCTGTCAGGCACTCACCACTACTCATTGAGATTAGTTTCTGTAAGCACATTGTGATATAACTGAAGGCTATGATGACAATAGGCTCAGATGAAAATAACAATATTTTTAGTAACTCAGAACATCTCTCATCTGGACCTTGGTGACTGGACAGTAAGAGAGATAATATTAAAATCAAACTCTAAAAGAGGGGGTTGGACAGTGGGATTTAGAAAAATGAGGTGGGCATGCCCCCCCCCATCCCCAGCGGAAATGACACCTTTCAATATTTAGTATGAGGCACTAAAAGTGGCAGTAAACCGAAGTAAAAGAAAGGTCAGAGAGGTTGACAGTGGTAAAAAAATAGATGGCAAAAAACTGCCATGACAGTTTCCAGTTGCAGTGATTCCCTGGACAAAAACAAACACTACTGTGTACATAAATCTAAAGCGAAATGCTCTGCTACTGCTTCTCTATAAACTCAAACATGAACAGGACCAATGGTGGCCATGATGTCAGAATGATACACAAAAACAGCACAGAACCTAGCGGTCCAGCACACAGTAACTGAAATATTTTAACATCAATATCACCTCTTTCTTGTATTTCTATGAGGTAAACAGATAGCAAACCACTGCGCCTGCATTAAAATCTAACCTGGCAGAAGAATGACTGTCAGCTGTGAAATATCTCCCTATTTTCAAGAATCAGTAAAAGACAAGGAAAACAAGATGTGTACGCCTGTTTAAAAAAAAAAAAAGCCCATTAAGCTAAATCAATAGAAAAAAATAACAGTATCAGTTTCTCCCATTTCAGGACAACAGGATATTTTGGGATGAAACTATTAAAACTTAATAAGATCTCCACACAATAGAGGCTCCATACAAGACGATCTCACTGTGGATTTAATTTTAAAAGAAACATTTCAGCGTGTGATGAAAAGAATATAAATCTTTCATTAGCCTCTCAGAATCAGCACAGTATGTGGCTTTTGGACTTTAATTACCTCTATTTGACTGTATCTCTGCTCCAATTGAACGTTAATGAAAATTTATGAAAAACCAATTCAGTGTGAA